CCCCAAGAGAACCCCACAAGAGGGGCCCAGGAGGTAAAAACATGTGTGTTTCCCTGAGTTTTGTTTTGTGCGTTTCTGTATTAAAAATATTTTGACATTCTCGTCTGTTTGTCTTCCCGACGCTCAGCGACTGCCCAGGAGGCCCAAACTATCGCCCCAAGACAACCCAAGAGGCCTCCAGGAGAGACCCAAGAGGGCTCCAAGAGGGCCCCAGAGGCCTCCAAGACGGCCCACGATATCTCCAGGACGGCCCCACGAGGGGGCCAGACGGGGAACCCGAACGGACATTTCGAGCTTTCGGCCCCAAGAGGCGCCCAGGAGGTTTCGAGAAGTCTGCAGCGGCCCCTGAAGAGCCTCTAAGAGGGCGCCAAGAGCCCCCAAGAGAACCCTACAAGAGGGGCCCAGAATGTAAAAAGCAATGATTCCCCTTATTGTTTCCAAAGATTTGGGCGTTCTCTTCTGTTCGTCTTCCCGACGCTCAAAGACGGCCCACCAGGCCCGAACTATCGCCCCAGGACGACCCAAGAGGCCTCCAAGAGAGACCCAAGAGGGCCCCAAGACGGCCCCAGAGGCCTCCAAGACGGCTCAATATATCTCCAGGACGGCCCCACGAGGGGGCCAGACGGGGAACCCGAACGGACATTTCGAGCCCTCGGCCGAAAGAGGCGCCCAGGAGGCTTCAAGAAGCCTCCAACAGCTCCTGAAAAGCGTCTAAGGGGGCGCCAAGAGCCCCCAAGAGAACCTCACAAGAGGGGCCCAGGATGTAAAAACCATTGCTTTCCCTTAGGTGTTTCAAAGATTTTGGCATTCTCATCTGTTCGTCTTCCCGACGCTCAAAGACGGCCCAGGAGGCCCAAAATATCGCCCCAAGACGGCCCAAGAGGCCTCCAAGAAAGCCACAAGAGAGCCCAAGAGGGCTCCAAGACGGCCCCAGAGGCCTCCAAGACGGCCCAAGATATCTCCAGGACGGCCCCACGAGGGGGCCAGACGTGGAACCCGAACGGGCACTTCGAGCGTTCGGCCCCAAGAGGCGCCCAAGAAGCTTTAAGAAGCCTCCAACAGCACCTCAAGGGGCTCGAAGAGGCCGCCAAAGAGACCCCCCCAGACACCCAGAGGCCCCCCGGCCCCCAAGAGAGCCCAGGAGGCCCCCTGGAGGCCCCACGAGGCCCCCAAGATGCCCACAAAGAGGCCCAAGAGGCCCCCACACGGCCCCGAAGAAGCCCCAAGAGACCACGAACGCGCAGGCAAATGGCTGCGATGGCACAGTACGGGCCTGCGGAAGGAGCGAAGCGATTCAAGAACTGGGGGCGGGGCGGGGGGGGGGGCGCGCTGGCTGGCGGGCGTGGCGATGCGGAGGTGGCGCGCGGGATGGGGGGTGCGGTGCCGTCTTCAAAAGAGGTCGGAGCGGGGGGGGCGCGATGGCTGGCAGGTGGGGGGATGCGGAAGGGGCGCGCGGCTCCACTTGTGGTTCTGAGGATGTTCAGGTTGGGAAGTGGACATGGAGGTGGTGGAGGTCTCGATTCTTGCCGTCCCTCTCCAGTGTGGCGCGCACAGGGCCTGAGGCTCGCCTCTCTTGCTGACGGCGGCCGCTGCCGCCGTCCCTGACGCTACGAGCGAGTGCGCTCGGCAGCCTGCGCAAGAAAGGGGCGCGCGGGATGGGGGGGGCGGTACCGTGCCGAAATGAAAAGGGTCGGGGCGGGGGGGGCGCGCTAGCTGGTGAGTGGGGCGATGCAGGGGGGCGCTCGGGATGGGGCCCCCCCGGGGCTGTGCCTAAATGAGGGGGTCGGGGCGGAGGGTGCGCGCTGGCTGGCGGGTGGGGCAATGCGGAGGGGGCGTGCGGGATGGTGGTGGTGGTGGTGGTGGTGGTGGTGGTGGTGGTGGTGGTGGGGGGCGGTGCCGTGCCGAAATAAGAAGGTCGGGGCGGAGGGGGTGCGCTGGCTGGTGGGCGGGGTGGGCGCAGGGATGCGGAGGTGGCGCGCGGGATGGGAGGGGGCGGTGCCGTGCCGAAATACAGTGATCGGAGCTCTAGACACCCTGTGCAAGATAGTACATGTACACATCTGTGTCTAAATACATGGGATCGTGACGATATTCGTGTTCGCAGCGCACAATGCTGTTCGCACGAACGTGATCCAATTCTTCACAGCTGGAATGCTAGCAATGATCTCGGCTGCAAAGGCGATCGCAGTGGGGATGTTTTAACATGGGATGGTATCAACAAAAAAGGCTGCGTTTGGCGACGCATGGTCTAACATGGGTCACTTCCAGGTCCTAGGCTTGGCCTTTCTGGTCGGTCAAATGACTTATTTGGGATTATCGGTGACCATGTCTCAACTACTCGCAGCACATGGATTCAGAAGGCGATGGTGCGTAGGAGAGGCTTGAGGAGGAACTCGAATTCGAGTCGCTGGCGGTGCGCTCCTTTGGAGCACACGCCCGGGGGTGTGAATGATGATGCCCGAGGGGGAAGGAAGCAGGAGGAGGAGGAAAACGAGGAGGGGCGGTGGTTCAAGTGTACCCGTTCTCTGTTGCTCCTGAGGCGGCGGTTTTGCTACCTTTGCCAGGTCAGGTAAAAGACCTACCAACCCTGACGGTTGCAGCATGGGGAGGTGTTTGCCGAACTGCGCAAGCTCAGGAGACGCCCAGTCCCTGGGACTGAGCTCCGTTTTGAAAGAGCGGGCCTGTAGAGGTTGGGGGGCGATTGGATGAGTGGATCAACGGGAGGAGATGAAGAACCTCAGGAATTAATGCACATTGCTTGCTTGATACACATTGCCTGCTTAAAACACCTTGTCCCATCTTGCTGCATGAGCGTTGCGCGACCGCGACGCACCATCTCCGTGCGTGAAGCAGTGTGCGTGCGCGGCCGGTCCACCCGCGCTCCGAGGCCGGACCTTGGCCTCGAGGCGGACAAATCAATGTCAGTACCTCTCTCCTTCTCCCTTCATCCCGCCCCCTCTTCGAGTGCGAAGACGCTGCTGTCTCTCCCAGGGGGCGGATGCTGGCGAGAGAGGGGTTGGGCGGGGGAGAAGGGCCGGACGCTGGGGTGCAAGGGCGGCCGTCCGCTGCACGTGTCCCAGCCGTCCCAGACGAGGGTCGGACACTCTTGTCTATGCAGGGGTCGGAGCTCAAGAGACGGGGGTCAATGCAAACGGGGGTCAGCCAGTGCACCGGATCCTGCAGGATCCTGCGAGGGCCCCCTCAGGCTGACCCAGGTTTGCGAGCCACGAGGCGGCCACGCATAGTGGCTGACCCGGGTTTGCGAATACCTGCGTTGCAGTTTTTTTTCTTGCATTGCAGTTTTTGGTTTCCTGCTGACCCGGGTCTGGATTGACCGGGGTCAGAAGATCACCGATTAGATGTTCATCCATTCAGGACTCAGGACAAACATTCATGCGCGAACCAAGCATTTCATCTCTCGTTCAAGTGCCGTGTGGGATAGATAATGCTGGGGTATTTAATAGCATGGCGCTGCAGCCCAGAGTAGCAGCGCCTTTCACGCAGCAGTATCCAGCGAGCTGCAGCCCGAGGTAGCAGCTCATGTACAGCGCTGGCCGCTGCATCCCAGGCACTCTCTACTCCGAGCAAGCGAGAGAATATGCCCACGGCAGAGCTATCATAGAGAAACAACGTGGCTGGCGGACGGACGACGGACGTCGGACGACGGGAGAAGGCGAACGGGACCGCCCATGGGGGAGAGGACCTGGGGTGGCCCTGAGGTGGCCCACCTTTCCCAAACTCCCTCCGTCGCAACCCAATTTGCCCCCCCTTGGCTCCGGGATCCGCTTTGGAGTCTTTGGGTGATTCTTTCGACCTGAAGAGGGTTCCGAGCTGGTTCAGGAGGACGCCCGCTGGCCGCCAAGATGGTCCCTTAGTGGTCCAAGACGTTCCAAGATGTTTCAAGGCGGCCCCAGGGGCCGCAATCTTTCCCATTCCCAGCCTCCTCGCCCCACCGTCACGGGCACGAGCACGCTTCCATCCGATGCAGCCGTGCGAATTTTCGGCCTCCGCACGGAGGTGCTTCTGCAGTTCTCCACGTGCTGTCCTCCTACAGTCGGGGCCCTGAATCAACGCCTCGACTGACAGGCTATGCCTCCTCCCTCCCACTGGTGGGAGGAGGGAGGGGGTGCGGTGGAGGTGGGCCGTGGGTCCGGCGGGGGGTGCGCAGGGAGGCCTGATCGTGCGAGTGCAGCACCGGTTGCAGCGTGGAGCCTCCATCCGCGCCCGCCGAGTGCACCTGTGGGACTCCGGGTCTCCCAGGAAGAGCGGACAGCTCTGCCCGGGACGTCGGCGCCTCGGCGACATCCGCTCGCGTTGCCCCCTGCGGTGGCCACACAGACCAGGATGCACGGCGCCCCTGGCCTGCCACGTCTGGAGGGAGCAGGATGTGCAAGTCTTGCTGTTCCTGCCTTGCCCAGAAGCTCGGGGGCTCAGATCCAGCGCTGTTCGGAACTGAACCAGACCAGAGCTCGGCCAGTTCTCGCGCCCGTGGGGCATTATCCTGGGCCAAGGCCAGGCTAGCAGAGGCCCTCTGCGCCTGCCTGCCAGCGAGCTTGCTGTTGCGTGAAGACTCGCACGAGCTTGTGGACTGCCGCGTGGCTCGATTCCACTGCGTCCGCCCACGAGGCTGGTTAGGCAAGTCACGGTCACCCTCTTGGGAAGCTGCGATTCCCACCTGGTTTCCCCAAGTCGTTCCAGCGAGCTTGCTCGGAATGTGCTTGTCCTGCCGGTGTCCTCATGCGGCGGGGGTGGGAGGGAAGCATGTTGTTTCAGCGATGCGCTGCGCGCCGAGCTGCCAGCACAGCCTGCGTTCTTATTTCTACGGCGCCCGCGCGACTTGAACACGTCCACCGTGCCTGTGTCCGCGAATGATCGAGGGGCGGTATTCATGTACATAAATGGGCGCGTACGTCCTTTATGGGCTCCCTATTGACGAGTCTTGCCTCTTTGTCGAACCGTCAGCTCACGTTTGGACCGTCTGCGCGCGGCGCCCCCCCTAGGCGCCCCTGCGCCGCCGGGCGCCGTCGGCGCTGCCGCCGCTCGAGGTCCCCGCCACGCCGCCGCTGCCGCCGACCGAGGCGGCGCCTCCCGCCGCAGCGCTGCCGCTCGGCGCTGCCCGGAGCTGGAGGGCCGAGTCTGCAGTCGGACCGAGGTACAGTCGGGGCGCTGAAGAAGGAACCCTTGTCGACGACGGACGACGACAACGACGACGACCGACGACGGACGAAGACGACGACGACGACGAAGACGGACGACGACGACGACGACGACGACGACGACGAACAACAGACGACTGACGACGGACGACGACGACGGACGACGACGAATGACGACGGACGACTGCGACAGACGACGACGACAACCACGACGACGAAGGACGACTGAAGACGATCACGACGGACGCGGTACATCAAGATCGATACACTCAGCATTGCAACTTGGCACGTTCCTTGGCACGTTCCGTGGGGCGTCCTTTGGCGAGTCCCCCTGGCACGTCGCGCGGCGCGTCCCCTGGCACGTCCCGTGGCACGTCCACTGGCACGTTCTTCTAGAGAAAAGGGGCCTCGTTCCTTATTTAAGGTTCCTTAAGTCAACACCCCGACGGTATGAGATCGAGGTCGGTTCGGGGAAGGTGCCCTCATGCTCTTCGTGCTTGTTGGATGTGCGTGCGCACCCTGGGGAGGGTACCCCTGGATGTTCGTCGTGCGTGTTGGCCTGCGGAGGGTCTTGTGTTATTGAGAGATGGTCCGACTGTACCCCAGGGCGCCTGCGAGGGCGCGAGATTATTCGCGCTCCGCGGTTCGGCTCCAATTCCTCATCCTCCTCTTCTCCTCTTCGTGGGTGTCCTCGAGGTTGGGAAGCTATTCGCGCTTTGCGGTTCGGCTCCGATTCCTCTTCATCCTCCTCATTTTCCCTTGGGGCTTGGGATCGGCGCGAGAGTGCGAGATTATTTGCGCTTCGCGCCGCGCAAAGCTCGAAGTTGGGCGCCCTTGCTACCTGGGGCCTGTGCCAAATATCGCTCGCACTTTCTAGCCACGAGCGTCTATGGTCACATTGGATGTCGTTGCATGTGTAGACGCATTCGGGGTGGATGCGTCTATAGACAACGCGGCCGCTGCGTTCGGCGCAGTACAAGGTCGGAGGAAAGGGTATATCCGTTTTCGGTATGTGCCTGTTCTAGAGCAGGTCCCACATGGACCCAGACCTCCAACGTACTTCCCCCGCATACTCACTACCTACACAGCCAGGAAACAAGTTATAACAAAATCAGCTAGACGATCATCTTGAATGATCTGCAGACGGCAACGCCCAGACAGAATTGTTACGTGAGATTCGCCTTTCAATCTTGGCCTCTTGCGCAGGTGCACACCATGGGCCAGGTTACTGATATGCCGCACTTTGGCTTGCACGCCAGGTGGCAACATTGGGAAGCGGATGACACTTAATGCCCGGGTGTTTTTTTAAAGTTGATTTTTCACTGGGCCGCTGGCGCGGGCGACTCTAGGGCATGCCTTACGGCTTCGTTCCCACAGTCGGATGGCTCACATGCACCGCGCAGCGCAGACGACGCGGCGTTCCGTACTGTACCGTAACATTGACAGGTGGACGTCATTTCATGCGACGGGCCCCGCCCGTTTCGATTCAACATCGTTTCGGTTTCCATCTTTGTGCCAGTTTTGTTAGAATTTGTTCACGGGGATGGGTAATTCTGCCCAAGTGTCCGGTTTCCGCGCGATTCCCTGTCGTCTCTTGGCGCGCCGCCGCCGGCGGACCTGCGAGACGTGCGGGCCCCGTTGAATTTGTGGGACCTGTGGGATCTGTGGGACCTGTGGGACTTGCGAGACTTGTGGGACCTCTGGGACCTGTGCGACCTGCGAGACCTGTGGAACCTGTGGGACGTCGTCCAATGAACCGTGCCCACGACGAGGCGGGGGGAGGTTCAGTATGTAAATTCACACGTGCAGGATGCAGTTTACGTTGCCTGGCGATCCCAGTTAACGATCGGGCCGCGGCGGGCTCTATGCGTCAATCCACGCACTGAACGCACTTTGCATCGAGTGGCGTGCCCACTTGACGACGGGGGTTTTCGCGTTTGGTGCGTGCAGAAATAGGACGGGAAGCATCGATCGTTAATTCAGAATTTGCTTGGGTTGAAAAAAGGGTTGAACAAATTATTATGCTGTGAATTAGCACCGTTCTGACATAGCGATCGACGTTTCCCGTCCAATTTATTCTCCACCAAAGCGACAACAATCGATCGTTAATAAGTGGGCACGCCACTCGACGCGAAATGCGTTCAGTGCGTGGATTTAAACATAAAGCCAGCCGCGGCCAAATCGTTAAATGGGATTGCCGGGCAACGTAGACTGCATCCCATGCGTGAATTTACATACTGGTCCCGCCCCCCACCCAATCCTGGAGTGGCTTCGCGAGACAACGAACAGTGCGACCCAGGTGTGATTTTACACACCGAGCGCGCCCACGCCCATTACGGGGATGCGTCCGACAACGACGGGCGCGTTCTGGGCCCCATGGCGCCCAGAACGCAGCCGCTTTTGTCAGGAACGGCGTGCGAGACGATGACGACGACGTCGACGTCGGTGTCGAAGTCGAAGTCGACGTCGTCGTCGTCGTGGCACAGTTTGCCGGCGCATTTTTGGCAATTGCCGCCAGGGCTCTCGGACACACCCAAGCAGGTTCGACATCCACACAGCCGGGAAAAAATAATAATAACATCAACAAAGTTATCATTTTGAATGATCAGCAGACGGCATCTCCCAAATAGAATTGTTAATTGAGGGTCGCCCATCAATGTTGGCAGCGTGCGCAGGTGTGCACCATGGGCCAGGCTACCGATATGCCGCACTTCGGCTTGCCTGTTCGGTGGCAACATGAGGAGGCGGATGCCACTTAATGCCAGGGGGCTCTTTTCAGTTGATTTGTCATTGGGCCGCTGGCGTGGGCGATTCCACGTCATGCCTTACGGTTTCCTTCCTACAGTCGGATGGCTCACATGCACCGCGCAGCGCAGACGACACGGCGTTCCGTAACATTGATACGTGGACGTCACTTAATGCGACGGGCGGGCCCCGCCCGCTTCGATTCGACATCGTTTCGGCTTATATCCCTGTGCCATTGCTGTTAGAAACTTTTTGTAACAGGGATGTACCGGCCGGACATTCGAATTCGGATGATCCGAAAACACCAGTGCATTCGATTCCGAGATTTGGGATTTCCGATGCGGCCTGTTGCACAGCATTGATCCGATGGGATGTTTTCTTGAAACATGTGGCGACATATTGATACAAGTTAAAATTAATCCTGCGCGTTGCCGCTCTTCGGTGGCTCCTCGGTGCGCCTTGGGATGGGCGGGTCTTTTGGCCCCCGCTTTAGGGGCCGTCATCATTCTACTCCTTCTCCTCTCCCTTCTCCTCTCCCTTCTCCTCTCCCTTCTCCTCCTCCTCCTCCTCCTCCTCCTCCTCCTCCTCCTCCTCCTCCTCCTCCTCCTCCTCCTCCGTCGCCTCCTGTTTCACCATCCTTCCGCTGCGCATTGCGATGAAAAGCTCACGGGGTGCAGGCTTGTTCTCAGCAGAACCGAGACGGAAAAGGATTTTCGTCCTCTCCGGCGTCAGGGGCCCTCGCCGGGCCCCGGGGACGTCCAGAAACGTCCTTGGGAAATGGTCCATAGATCCGGGGGGGGGGCCCGTCGGATTGAGAAGATGAAGGAATCGCAGGTCCGGGGGGGGGGATCGGGGTCACCCAAACCTATTAATACGATGTGTGCGTTGCCTACGCAGTGGCGACGCGCGCGCGCGCCAAGAAATCTTAAAGTGTATGCTCGATGGCGGGCACTTTCGGGCCATACCGCTCCAGAAACGATACGATACAAGATTTTTGGTGTTATATGTCCCGGCACATGTACGTGCGTCTCCAGTAGAGGCACATAGTACGAGTACGTCTTTCTGCGTCCCATGGGGCCCTGTGGGAGGGCGCGGCCTCGTCGGGGCTCCACCTCCAGCGGGGATCGGTCTTTCGGGGGGGACCTCCGGAGGTTCGCCTCGCCGGGGCTCTGCCTCGCCGGGGCTCTGCCTCGCCGGGGGCTGCGCGCCGATCGTGGGCCGGTCTGCCGAGGGTCGCTTCCACCCAGGGTGTCGGTCCGCCCGAGGCGCTTCGCGTAAGCAGGAGAACCTGGCGGGCGGGCGGACCTGAGCGGGCCTGAGCGGCCTGAGCGGGCCTGAGCGGGCGGGCCTGAGCGGGCGGGCGGGCGGGCCCTGTGGGGCAGGCGCAGTCTGGTGGGCAGGCCCGCGGGCGCGCGATGCAGCACCACGCGAAGCGACATTCGGGCGAAGCGGCACCGGGGCGCAGCGGAAGCGGCATGCAGGCGAAGCGACCGACGCGGAGCGCAGCCCTTGGCGAAGCGAAATTTTGGCGAGTCTAGCCCCGGGCGAAGCGAGCCTTTGGCGAAGCGAAGTTAGCTACGCCTCAAGGGCGCACTAAGACAGGTTCAAGAAACTCGAAGCACAGAGGTCACAGGATAACGTCCCCGAGCGCAAAGGAAACCTCTGTGAATGGGTGTCGAAGTTTCCACATTGACGTTTGTGGAGCCTCTGGGGCACAGGCAAGCACCAGCGCCCCGTGGCCCCGCGCCGAGTGTATCGGGGCACAAGGAGAGCGTCGAAAGTTGGTTGAGATGGGCTTCCCGGGTGTGCCTTCTTCTCAGCGTGCTGCTCCTGGTGTCGCCCTCCATATCTTAAGAGAGGTGGAGCGTGCGAGATTGCTGCAGACCCAACCGCCTGCTCAACGAGCTGCGTGGCTGCAGCGGCCTCAGGATGGTTTTCCTGCCAGCGGCTTCATTTCAGGACTGATGGCGATGAGGCAGCGGATAGCAGCAACGGATGAGGCAGGTTCAGCCACCTTAAACGTTCTACCCCTTGCGGGCAAACACAATTCCTCTTCTTTTTCCTCCTCCTCCTCCTCCTCCTCCTCCTCCTCCTCCTCCTCCTCCCCCTCCTCCTCCCCTCTCTCCCTCCTCCTCCTCCGCTCTCCCCTCCTCCTCTCCTCCTCCTCCCTCCCCTCCTCTCCTCTCCTCCTCCCTCCTCCTCTCCTCTCCTCCTCCTCCTCCTCCTCCTCCGCATCCTCCTCCGCATCCTCATCCTCTCCTCATCCTTATCCTCCCTCCCTCCTCTTCCTCATTTCCCTCCTCCCCCTCTTCCTCCTCCTCTTCCTCCTCATCTTTCTTTTCTCCTCCTTTCCTCTTCCTCCTCCTTCTCGTCTTCCTCCTCCTTCTCCTCTTCCTCCTCCTTCTCCTCTTCCTCCTCCTCCTCCTCCTCTTCCTCCTCCCTCCTTCGCGTCGCAGCCGCCCCCACAGGCTGCGGCCGTCTGCCCCGTGATCGTTCGGTGGGAGCAGCAGTTGCCACATTTGTCTCAAGGGGAAGCTGTCCTGCAGGCTCCCCGCCAGTTTCCTCCTCCTCCTCCTCCTCCCTTTCCTCCTCCTCCTCCTCCTCCTCCTCCTCCTGTTCCTGTACCATCCTGTTTTTCCTCCTGATTCTCCTCCTGCCACGTGGACTCCAGTGCCCAGGCGGTCTCCAGGTGATCTCTTCTTCCTTCTCCTCCTCTCGCCCTCGGCGTGGAGGACGATGTCTTCAAGGCCGCGGTTCCCTCCGAGGCCTCGGGGGAGGGGCTCGAGTAACTACAAGACCGCTGACTCAGGATTTCGGCTGCTCCGCTCGTTCACCTCATAGCATCTCTTCACCTGGCCTTCTCTTGCTCATCTGCCATCTGCGGCCTCAGAGCCCCAGATGCTCGAAGGGCCTCACGAAACACCGTAGGGGTGCTGAGGCTCCTCGGAGCAACGTCCAAAAGTTGTCCTCACCCTCGCGGTCTACGACGCCGCGAATGCGGAGGCGTTCGAGGAGGCCAGCCGCGCTTCCCCGCCACCGCGGGTGCGCTCGCGCCATTTCTGAAGTCCGTGGGCGACGAGAATGAAGCGGCGGATGAGCAGGATGAGGAAGGAGCAGGAGTAGGAGGAGCAGGATGAGGAGCAGGATGACATCCTTGGACGGGGAGCAGGATGAGGAAGGAGTGGGAGTAGGAAGAGTAGGATGACCAGGGGAAGGCGGAGGGAAAAGGAGGTGGACGGCAACGATGAGAAACGAATCGGATCCATAATAGCGTTCTGCGCCAGGGCGAGAGCAAAAACCTAACAACGGGAGCAGAGCGCCAACACTGAATTGCGGCCTTCGATGTAGCGGGAGAAACGCTTGTTCAGGACCGCGAAGGGTCCGAATAGAACAAACACATGGTCATATTGTTTGTTGGAATCCCGTGTGTGGAAAGACAACTTGGCGGGGCCCGCTGGTTCTGCAGACGCGTTTGCGACCGCCAGCGTTGCCGACAACCGATGCGTGTGGAACGACAATGCGCGCGGGGGGGCACGTCCGCACGACGCGGTACCAGGGGGAGAGAGGAGAGTGGCACTCATGTTGTGTGCGTGTTACCTGTGGACGGAGGGCGGCACACAACGGGCCAAGAGAAACATGGAGTTGAAAGGGTATAGGGAAGCTGCTGTGAGGACATTACGTGTGCAGCTGCGCCGAAAGTCAGGAAGTCCCCTCTCCTCGTCCTTGGCCCGAGGGGTCGATCGTCGCATGCACAAGATGGCCGTGTCAAAGCTGGCTTCGCATCTGCTAAAGATTAGGTCGGAACCCGCAGCAGGCTCCGGAGGCGATCTGGTGCTTGCCTCATGCGTGCAGCTTGCCACGCGCATTCGCCACCACGTTGCGGGGGGCGGGGGGGCTCGGGGCTCCACGCTGCGGCCCTGTTGGGGGCCTCGCTTTCGGTTCCATGTCTTTCGGGAGGCCAGTGAGCCCTGGGGCTTGGAGCCAAGAGTGAGCGCACGTCGGCCTCGATGCGGCCCGTCGTTTTGTCACCCTCCTGGCTGGCCTGGCCTACCCTCGTGCACTTAAGCGCAATTTGCACGGGCGCACAGGGCGTCTGCAACCTGACCGTGAACCCTTGGCTTGCGCTGTGAGCCCGCGCCGTCGTTGCCGCCATCGCCTGCTCGCTGCCTGGGCCGACCGACGGGCCCGCTACCACCGAGGCGCCGCTGGCAGACCCCGCGCCGCCAGCCCCCGCCGCCCAGCCGGAGAAGGCGGAGCCACCCGCGGCAGCCCCAGCCGCGTTGGCGAGCACGGAGGGGCGCCGGGCCCCCCCTTCCGGGGTCGGGGGACCGCTCCGCATCGCCGATGCATCGGCGTTGTGGCTTGATGTGGAGCCCAGTTTCTCCACGCCGACGCCGCCGATGCATCGCCGGTGCAACGCCGATGCATCGCCAGTGCATCGGCGATACGTCGGCGAACCAGTGGAATCCTCCGACACAGTCTAGTCGGACCCCATCGGGGAGGCTTCTGCCCACCTTTGGTGCGGGCGCACTCGGGCCCCCCGGATGGCTTCGTGCGGTGCGACATCAGCGGCTTGCGCGCTCCGGGTTCGGCCTCCCCGCGGCCCCCGAAGGCCGCGCACCAGAGGCCGTTCGTGCTCAGGCCCACTCCTGCGCGTGGCCGAGGGGGGCGCTGGGCCCCCCGACGGAAGAGCTCGAGCAGCCAAAGATGTGAACACACGCTCCTGGCGGCGCGCGCGGAGTTCGCGGGTCAGCACTGGACCGCCCACACCACCGGCGGCGCCTCTGGCGCCGCCCCAGCCGCGCTCCGCGCGCAGGGGAGGGCGTGTGGGTACATAACAGGGGGGCCCAGCGCCGACCCGAGGAATCCACGCGGACGCCCGAAAGTGCATGTTTTTTGTTATCGGCGGGACCCGTGCGCAATTCGATCACGTGCATCTTGCGTCAGCCCTCGAACGCGGCTAGGGTTCTCGCCGCTGCGACAAGAAAGGTTGTCAGTGGGACGCCTCCGCCTCACCCTCACTCCCGCCTCCCCTCCCATCTTCACTCAGACTCACTAGCGCCGAGGTGCTCGGACGCAGAGTGATTCGTATACAGACCCACGCTTCCCCAGAGCATTCATACATTCATACTCGCACTCAGACCTAATTACACTCAGACTCACTCATGCGCAGGCTCACTCGCGTTCAGACTGATTTCCAGACGCTCATATTCTGACTCACTTACAATCATATTATAGTCACTCATTGCCAGTCGTTTATATTCAAGCTCACTCGCTCTCAGATCTCTCAGAGACCCGTGATCACAGTCATGTAGCAGGCATCGCACGTGGGCCTCCCAAGGTGGGATCCCCCAGGTTTGTTCCACGGTCAAGTTTGCGCCCAGACTGGTGGGGCCTCTTGAGTGAATCACCTGTCTAGGGGACGCGTGTGTTTGTTTCCAGGGCCCCATGATCATCACTGCGTTGTAGCAGGCATTGCATTCGGGCCTCCCACGGGGGGGGATCCACCAGGGGTGTTCCGCGGGCCCGTTCTCACCCAGATGGGTGGGACCACTCGAGTAGACTGCCCGTTTTGGGAGACACGCGTGTGTCTTGCTAGAGCCTCATGATCACCGTGACGTGGGCCTCCCAGCGGGTGGGAGGGTCCACCAGGGGTGTTCCACGGGTCCGTTCGCGCCCAGATTGGTGGGACCTCTCGAGTAGAACGCCCGTTTTGGAGGACGCGCGTGCTTGTTTTCAGAGTCCTGTGATCACCGCGACCGCGATGCCGCAGGCATCGCATCTTGGCCTCCCAAGGGGGTGAGGGGAAATCCACAAGGGGTTCCACGGGCCGCTTCGCGCCCAGACTGGTGGGGACACTCGAGTAGGCGGCCCGTTTTGGGAGGCGCGCGTGTGTGTTGTCAGAGCCCCACGGTTGGGAGACGCGCCGGTTGGGAGGCGCGCCGGTTGTCAGACCCCAGTGGTCACCGCGATGCTGCGGGAAAATAAAATTATCCCGGCAAAGCAACCTAAGAGCGATGTGTAGGAGCATACCTGGAAGCATTCCCCTTAAGATTCAGATGAGAATCCAGTTGTAGAATTATGCTGTTCTCGCAATCGTAGTCGCATTCGCGATGACAGTCGCAGTGGCAACGGCAGTCGCAGTCACAGCCTCAGCCTCAGCCTGCCTCAGCCTCAGCCTCAGCCTGCCTCAGCCTCAGCCTGCCTCAGCCTCAGCCTCAGCCTGCCTCAGCCTCAGCCTCAGCCTGCTTCAGCCTCAGCCTCAGTCTGCCTTCAGCCTCGGCCTCAGCCTCAGCCTGCCTCAGCCTCAGCCTGCATCAGCCTCAGCCTCAGCCTCAGCCTGCCTCAGCCTCAGCCTGCCTCAGCCTCAGCCTCAGCCTGCCTCTGCCTCAGCCTCAGCCTGCTTCAGCCTCAGCCTCAGTCTGCCTTCAGCCTCGGCCTCAGCCTCAGCCTGCCTCAGCCTCAGCCTGCATCAGCCTCAGCCTCAGCCTCAGCCTGCCTCAGCCTCAGCCTGCCTCAGCCTCAGCCTCAGCCTGCCTCAGCCTCAGCCTGCTTCAGCCTCAGCCTCAGTCTGCCTCAGCCTCGGCCTCAGCCTCAGCCTCAGCCTCAGCCTCAGCCTCATCAGCCTCAGCCTCAGCCTCAGCCTCAGCCTGCTTCAGCCTCAGCCTCAGTCTGCCTTCAGCCTCGGCCTCAGCCTCAGCCTGCCTCAGCCTCAGCCTGCATCAGCCTCAGCCTCAGCCTCAGCCTGCCTCAGCATCAGCCCTCAGCCTCAGCCTCAGCCTCAGCCTCAGCCTCAGCCTCAGCCTCAGTCTGCCTCAGCCTCAGCCTCAGCCTGCCTCAGCCTCAGCCTGCCTCAGCCTCAGCCTCAGCCTCAGCCTCTCAGCCTCAGCCTCAGCCTCAGCCTCAGCCTTCAGCCTCATGCCTCAGCCTCAGCCTGCCTCAGCCTCAGCCTCAGCCTCAGCCTCAGCCTCAGCCTCAGCCTCAGCCTCAGCCTCAGCCTCAGCCTGCAGCCTCAGCCTCAGCCTCAGTCTGCCTTCAGCCTCGGCCTCAGCCAGCCTCAGCCTGCCTCAGCCTCAGCCTGCATCAGCCTCAGCCTCAGCCTCAGCCTGCCTCAGCATCAGCCTGCCTCAGCCTCAGCCTCAGCCTGCCTCAGCCTCAGCCTCAGCCTGCTTCAGCCTCAGCCTCAGTCTGCCTTCAGCCTCGGCCTCAGCCTCAGCCTGCTCAGCCTCAGCCTGCCTCAGCCTGTCTCAGCCTCAGCCTCAGCCTCAGCCTGCCTCAGCCATCAGCCTGCCTCAGCCTCAGCCTCAGCCCTGCTTCAGCCTCAGCCTCAGTCTGCCTTCAGCCTCGGCCTCAGCCTCAGCCTGCCTCAGCCTCAGCCTGCATCAGCCTCAGCCTCAGCCTCAGCCTGCCTCAGCATCAGCCTGCCTCAGCCTCAGCCTCAGCCTGCCTCAGCCTCAGCCTCAGCCTGCTTCAGCATCAGCCTCAGTCTGCCTTCAGCCTCGGCCTCAGCCTCAGGCTGCCTCAGCCTCAGCCTGCATCAGCACAGCCTCAGCCTCAGCCTGCCTGCCCATCAGCCTCAGCCTGCCTCAGCCTCAGCCTCAGCCTGCCTCAGCCTCAGCCTGCCTCAGCCTCAGCCTCAGCCTGCTTCAGCCTCAGCCTCAGTCTGCCTTCAGCCTCGGCCGTCAGCCTCAGGCTGCCTCAGCCTCAGCCTGCATCAGCCTCAGCCTCAGCCTCAGCCTGCCTCAGCATCAGCCTGCCTCAGCCTCAGCCTCAGCCTGCCTCAGCCTCAGCCTCAGCCTGCTTCAGCCTCAGCCTCAGTCTGCCTTCAGCCTCGGCCTCAGCCTCAGCCTGTCAGCCTCAGCCTGCCTCAGCCTCAGCCTCAGCCTCAGCCTCAGCCTCAGCCTGCCTCAGCCTCAGCCTCAGCCTCAGCCTCAGCCTCAGCCTCAGCCTCAGCCTTCAGCCTCAGCCTCAGTCTGCCTTCAGCCTCGGCCTCAGCCTCAGGCCTGCCTCAGCCTCAGCCTGCTCAGCCTCAGCCTCAAGCCTGCCTCAGCCTCAGCCTGCCCTCAGCCTCAGCTGCTCAGCCTCAGCCTCAGCCTGCATGCCTCAGCCTCAGCCTCAGCCTCAGCCTCAGCCTGCCTCAGCCTCAGCCTCAGCCTGCCTCAGCCTCAGCCTCAGCCTGCCTCAGCATCAGCCTGCCTCAGCCTCAGCCTCAGCCTGCCTCTGCCTCAGCCTCAGCCTGCTTCAGCCTCAGCCTCAGTCTGCCTTCAGCCTCGGCCTCAGCCTCAGGCTGCCTCAGCCTCAGCCTGCATCAGCCTCAGCCTCAGCCTGCCTCAGCCTGCCTCAGCCTCAGCCTGCCTCAGCCTCAGCCTCAGCCTGCTCAGCCTCAGCCTCAGCCTGCAGCCTCAGCCTCAGTCTGCCTTCAGCCTCGGCCGCAGCCTCAGCCTGCCTCAGCCTCAGCCTGCATCAGCCTCAGCCTCAGCCTCAGCCTCAGCCTGCCTCAGCATCAGCCTGCCTCAGCCTCAGCCTCAGCCTGCCTCAGCCTCAGCCTCAGCCTGCTTCAGCCTCAGCCTCAGTCTGCCTGCAGCCTCGGCCTCAGCCTCAGCCTCAGCCTCAGCCTGCCTCAGCCTCAGCCTCAGCCTGCTTCAGCCTCAGCATCAGTCTGCCTTCAGCCTCGGCCTCAGTCCTCAGCCTTCAGCCTCTGAGCCTTCAGCCTCCTCAGCCTGCCTCAGCCTCAGCCTGCATCAGCCTCAGCCTCAGCCTCAGCCTGCCTCAGCCTCAGCCTCAGCCTCAGCCTGCCTCAGCCTCAGCCTCAGCCTGCTTCAGCCTCAGCCTCAGTCTGCCTTCAGCCTCGGCCTCAGCCTCAGCCTGCCTCAGCCTCAGCCTCAGCCTGCCTCAGCCTCAGCCTCAGCCTGCCTCAGCATTCAAGATGTGGCCCGGGAATGGAGATCTGGGAACTCGAAGAACACGAAGTGGCCTACAGTTGGCTCCGGGCATTCAAAATCATGCCCAGGATTGGAGTTCTGGGAATTCGAAGACCACGAAGTTGCCTACAGTTGGCTCTGGGCATTCAAAATGTGGCCCGGGAATGGAATTCTGGGAACTTGAAGACCACGAAGTGGCCTACAGGTGGCTCCGGGCATTCAAAATCATGCCCAGGAATGGAGTTCTGGGACCTCGAAGACCACGAAGTGTGTCACTGTTTGCTTAAAACGACTTCCGCGGCTCCTCCCCGGCACCCGCCCAGACCCCCCTGGGGAGTCAAGATGCTCTCTTTTGACACTACTAGAAACCTA